CTCCTGTGGGGATTGCCCACAGTATTGAGTATGTAAGTTGCTTTGGATAAAAGCGTCTAACAAGTGACATGTAATGTAATGTAATGTATTTTAAACCTCTAATGAGCAATCAGCAGACATATGTTGAAAAGGGTGCATTTGAATTGCAGAAGGACAATACCCGAAACCTGTAACCCACTTACAAAGTGTAGGTGCACTGTGCAGAGGGTGGAGGAGGAAAGTTGCATGCATCAGGGTGTAAGGCATACATCGCTTTGCAATCCACTTTTATCACACCTCCCTGTGGTCACAGCTGTGACTGCACAGAGGAACTGACTGCACAAACTCGAGTAGATATTCTGCGGCCTCCCCCTCTGCTGTCCTCTCCGCCATTTGTTAGGAGCTTTAGATACTTACCATGATAAGGAGAGGAGAGGAGTGAATAGGAGAGGAGCGAAGAGAAGGAGATATGAGAGGAATCTTTTGAGCAACAACCTAAGACTGTAGAAATTGAAGAAAGAAAAAAGAAGAAGTTGGGGAAGCTGTGACACAGTTTCTCATTCAAACCACACCCACCGCTTCAGCCCGTATAAAAACATGCAGAGCTCAAAATAGAGGCCAGACTTGTGCTGTTATCACCAACAATTTCTCATCCTACAGTAGCTGGAAATCAATGAAAGAACATGCCCTCAGTTTACATTTAACATTCACAGTCACGCTATTGAAGACATAGCCGTTATACTTTTAGGCTGATTACATCTTTTTTTTACACTCTTGTTATAGCAATGGGAATGCACCTAAGCTAAGGTACGATCAGAAATTCCCCCAGAAATCTTACTAAACAAAGAAGTTCTGCAATGTGGGAGGAAAGACCGTCTAGTTTCCCTTCACCTCTCAGGTTTCAATCTGATGGATGTAAAACAAGGGCTCATCTGAGACTAGCCAGGGTTGATAAAGGTCAAATGGAAAACAGTATAAGTCATAAGCTATGATTCGGTATGTATATTATTTTAGGAGTTTTCACTTCCCACACATAAAACTGAAATATACTGTATAAATGTTGTAGGAAATACTTTATTGTGAGGTGTCCCCCTATCTGTCTCCCCCTGTTGCCACTCTTTATGACAATAACTTTCTCATCTGACTTTCATCAATAAAGCAAATAAGTTTAATGTATTTCTTTAAATCTCTACAAATACATAAATAATATAAAAGACTCTCAGTAAGTAGCATTATTAGACTACTGTGTATTAACGTGTATAGGTTCAAAGTGTTAGCAAACAAAGCTGACAACTAATCCAACAGAAACACAGAAACGGCAGCAAATTGTAATAATTAACCTGCACATTACCCGTAGTTTTATTAGCTGATTCATAAAGAAAATGTCTGCTTCTAAGCAACTGAAGAAGTTAAAAAAGTGATCTCTCTCCGTCTAAATTAGTTGTAAATGTTAATCGTTTATTTCCCCCGGAAAGTTAATCCGTGCTCATATTTAATCTCAGTTTAAGACTGGCAGGTATCAAAACTTCCAGTGCACAGCACACAGACGATGAGAAAATACCTTTTTGTGCTAGACATCTCATGTTTAGGACCTTGAACTGAATTATATTTACATATTGAAAGAATCCCCATTTTTCTAAGAGTGATAACACAAATGTTTTGAGAATAACTGGGAATTTAAATGTTTCTGTTGCAAAACAATATCAGGCACACGTTTTAGAGCCTTTGTGTTATAAAACATGTCTGCAAGGGAACTGTAGATGGAAGAGCGAGACCAGAGGAAACTGGTCACCAAAACTGGGAAAAGTGTGTTTTAACCCAAGTCATGAGTAGAGTTAGCCATCAAACCAAAAGGAAACTAAAAATAATACCTGGTTATCATATTCATATGTTTGGAAACTAGGAAAAGATGACAACATAACCACAGCGTGTCCATGATCATGTAAAACCGTGGTCTTAAAAATATCAAAAGTGACTATTGGTGACTATACAGAATGTAAACCCACAGTCAGATGCCTAATCATGACGCCCTCGCACAACAAACTGCATCTCAAATTTAACATCAAATGACATTGACATTGAACACAGTTATTGAATGTCATATATCGGAGGCCTGTGTGTTAAGTCAATAATAGCAGGGTGCTTTCAAAGTTTGATGGAATTGATAAAATGTGTTAACATGAGGCAGATAGACCAATTACTTCCTGATTAAATAGATACTGATGTCATGTGAGGTCTTTAGCCTATGCACTATTAAAGGGACCGCAGTGTCCACTAACAGCGGAGAGAGTTTAAGTGGATTTTCACAGATTGTGTCATTCTGTCTCCAGTGGCACTTCTTTTGTATCTTTGCCTAATGACACACAACTTATAGTCTTTTGAAAGTATTTGTAAAGAACAAATAATTATGTTTTAAAAGTGTGACAGTGTTGCAGGGAGACACAGTGGTTAGCTGACAGGGTTCAGTTACTCACTCACTTGATATGTGACTTCTGTTTTTTAATTGTGGTTGGTTTAAGAAAAGACAGTGAGAAACTTAAATAGGCAACAGTTTGTCATTCAATTGAAACGTTGCATTGAATTGTGAAATTCAGACCGGAAAATATTTATTCTATTTCTTTGTAATTTCCCAGTGTTTGTTGTTGGGATGATCAGGACACATGTTGTGCCCTAGGGTCTTGTGTATGTGAAGTACTATTGTATGAAATGCTTTAACATTATAAAGCAACAACTTTAAATAAGGTGGAGAAGAGCAGACAAAAACAGATCATTCTGAGCAGTGTTTCATGGTGTGATGATCAATTTCCACATCTGTCAGAGGCACGCTTCAGTGAACTTCAGCTCCCCCCTGACACTGATTCCAGCCGTGCATTTTAGCATGTTTGACTTTGTTGTAGGAAAGTCCACATGAGAATAATGGCCCATGAAAAAACAACATTACAATTGTTTCAGTTTATCAATTGATTAATATAATCACACAAAAAATGTGTTATGGGTAAACAGGCTAGTAATGGTCTGTATTTTGACCTCAGTGGCGTGCAAACAGTTCAGTACTGCCCTCAGCAGCAAGCAGCTTCACATTTGTGTTACTTCATAAGATAAGGTATAAGATAAGAAGACAAGATAATATAAGATAAGCCTTTATTCAATTTCTAGAGGAGAATCTGAGTGTTGCAGCATCACAAAGTAATAATAATAATTTAAGTTTAGAAGTATTGATATGGTAACAGATATGGTATAACAGTCTAGCTTAGCTCATAATGTAATAATAATAATAATTATTATATTACAGACTACAATTCCGAAGTGTCCCTGATAACTCTTTAAAGTGCGCAGAGGCTGTTAAAGTGTGAGAGTTGGAGAGTTTATTCTCTGGGAATTTTAATTTTTACAACAATCAGAATAAATGCATATATTTGATCCATGTAAATGTTTGCCTGATAAAAGAGAAAAGGTCTCGGGTTGTTCTAACAGCAATTTAAGGCCTCAGTCAAATAGTAAACATAAAATAGCTTTCTTTTGTAGATTCATCTGTGCAAAGGAGAATGTGCTTGTTGCTCCACTCTTGAGGTTAAGAAGCTTGCATTTCTATTCACATACGATGTTGTAACAAGTCATACATTTTTTGCAGATGTAAGGCGAATTGCTGGTGAAAATGTAATCTATTCTTATTATTTAAATGATGTCCGAACTGCCAACCACATCATAAGACAGAAATATGTTGCGTGACTGAATACAGATGAATTTGGTTTGCGTTTACTTCATTCTGCTTGCTTAAGAGCTACTTCCTGATAATCAGAATCTATATTCTCAGAAGTGGAAATAACCAAATGGCATGTGTGCAACTGGTTTAGGAGGAAATCTATATTTAGAAAATGTGTCAGAAATGTGGTGTTCCCATTGGACTTCAGATTCACATTTATGTTCACCAAAATATATTATTTCTAAGAAGGCAAGCAGCTAGTCTGTAACCTATTTAATCCCATCAGAATAAACACTAATATCTTTCTAAAGGTTTTATGTGATCTACTGTATGTGTTATTTTCTTGACTTTGTATTCTAAATATACCATTGAGATTCACATCACCCTCGCCTTGCTGTAGAGACTCTACCACCTCAGAATCAAAGTGTCTAAATTCTAAAATGGGTCTTCTAAGTTGCATGTATTATTTTCATTCAACTGCATGAACTAGCTGACTGTGTTTCATCCACATTCATCTCAGCCCACCACCCAGTGTGTGAGTCTCGATCCCCGGAGAGTTTCTCCACTCCTCTCCTTCCTGTTTTATCCCCTATTTTCTTGTGTATGTAAACAGAAGTGAAGCATTTAAAGCTCCAAGGCAGAGAATGATGATCAAACACTGTACATGATCAATGACTTTGAAGAGATCTAACAGCCCTTATACATATATTTCACACAGAAGGAACAGCAGAAATGTAAAAAATCACTTCTGGAGCCAATGGCCACATGTTTCTCTCTGAAGACTGAAAGAAACAACATTTGAGAAAGGAAAGACTGCATCTTTTTTGTCTTGCACATTGTAGTGCGAGCTCCTCGTGCGCTTTTGATAACATGGCCGAACGTCTGTAGGCCTGTAAGCTTAAGAGCAGGGAGGAGTCAGCACCAAAGAAGAGGAGCTGTGAGAGGTAGCACTAATGTATGTCAAATGTTTCAGATGTAAAATAGCTCATTCTGATGTTGAACAGTCTAACAAAAGCCAACTAGACAGAGGACATTGACCTGGGAAGCGTCCATGTTGTTTAACATCCCCATTGTCTTTCTCGCTGTCTATTGACATGGAGTTAAACTGTCAAACAATGTGTGCTAAGCATGTATCTAAAAAACCTCCAAATCATAAACTTTAAGTAAAAAAAAAGCTGAAATTCACTCTTTTGTTTCACAAGTCAGATGGTTTTCACACTTAAACACAAGAGAGTGAAGATTAGATGAGAGAAGACTTCCTGTTCTCGTGGTCGAGCTGAAATGAAGCTTCCTGTAACCAAGTGTTAAGGTAAAGGCAGTCTCTTTTTGTGTGACATCACTCCCACTTGCTTGACTTGAAACCAGAGGCGAGGTTTAGGGTTTGGGGAACAAGTCCAGGAAGCTGCGTCCACTGATAAGACAAAAAACGTATGTAGTTTTAAATAACGTCTTTTGACTAATTTCTCTCTTAGAAGTGAGTATAGAATAGGGGATACGCTTCTGTTTGACGGTGACTACCTGCCCGTTGGTCCCCACCAGGACTTTACTGCATGGTGTGTGTCCGAACACACCCTAACTCCTGGAAATGGCAGGTCGCTGTGGACCAACGACCCTGCTGCTCTGGGCTGGGATCATCGCTTTGGCCAACTGTAAGTACCCAAATATTCATTTGGTTGATGAGGAAAGGGAAATAAATGGTGTTTTAGAAAGTTGTGCCTTCGTGATTGTCATCGGAAAGTTGTTCAGATGGAAATAAGTCTATATATGATGCAAAACACAAGTGATAGCCAACTGTACCTGATAAGGTCTTTTATTCTTCTGATCTGTTTTTAAAGCATATGGTTGATCGAGTTTATGAGAACAAGGAGAAACGATTTCCATTCCTCAGATAGACATGAATCTTTCAGCGCAAATACGCTTTATAACTTGTTTTTTTTAAACTGGAAAACATCAGCACACAAACTAAAGTCATTTAAACTAAAGCTAAGGGCAGAAATGACAAGCTACAGTATATCATGCCTTTGAGTTGTGCCTCCATTTGTGCTACTTCACGTTTCTTAAAGACATTACAGAGCACACTTGATGTGAGAAGCTGAAAAGTGACAGGTTTGGGAGCCCCTTTGGCATAAGAATAAACAGTTATGTTCCATCAAAGAGCGCTGTTAATAAGAAGACTCTTTAAAACATGTTCTTACACTTGCTACAAAGCTGTGGGAATTTTTGCAATCATGTTTCTGTTCTGCTTTGACATTGTGTGTGTGTGTGTGTGTGTGTGTGTGTGTGTGTGTGTGTGTGTGTGTGTGTGTGTGTGTGTGTGTGTGTGTGTGTGTGTGTGTGTGTGTGTGTCTGTGTGCGTGCGCGCGCGCGCGTGTGTGTGTGTGTGTGTGTGTGTGTGTGTGTGTGTGTGTGTGTGTGTGTGTGTGTGTGTGTGTGTGTGTGTGTGTGTCAGAGATGAGAGGATTTTTCTGGGTGTGTCCCTTCAAGTTCTTCACTTCAACCCTAGTGACTTTGGGTTTTGTATAAGATAAAAATCTGTGTGCGTGTGGTTTGTGTGTGTGTATCTATGCGCATTGTGCAAATGTGCGTGTGTTAAATGAGACCCTCCTTACTGCCTCTTGCATCACTCAGAGTTCTGCTACTGTTGAGCACATCAAATTATTTCTGCTATTTTCAGCTCAGATGTCTGTCCATGTGATCTGAAATAAACCCTTGAATCTATGTATCTTACTTAAGTGAAAGTGTACAAGTATAATCAGATAAATATACTTAAAGTATTACAATCACATCATGCTGTTTCTGCCGAAAAGTGGCCTGTGTAAGGGAAGATATTTATTCAAACAGTACATACTTTTGACATGCAACACACAAGTGTACCACAACTTTCCACATCATGAAGTTTAAGCATAATATAGCAGCACACACAAACCAGTCAAAGACAAATCCTTTTCAAAACTAAGCTCAACTTTGTCTTCTTTAACCTTTTTAGATTTGTATTATCGATCACATGCACACCACATGTATATATTCAAACCAACTACATGAAGGCAACAGTGCCCCATTAAGATGGAAAATTGTCGCGCTCTCTTTAGCTGCTGCGGGACAGAGTTCTGTGATCAAGAAGTTGACCACTTCCGTGTTCCATTCGAGTCGCCTTCATTTCCTGGTAGAGCAGAGCAGAGCACCAAGCAGACTAAAACAGAGCACAAGCAAATGACTTGAGAATTCATGAAAAAAGGGGAAGTTCAGTGTGTAAAATGAAGAAGTGAGGTCACAAAAGTTAGACACGATTAAAGCTGTTTCTCAGAGGAGGGGGAGCGTTTATGTCAATGCAAAATATGAGAAGAAAGTAGAAGCAGATTTTTTGATTGTGATAATGATGAACCCTGAAAACTGATACATAAGAGATAAATCCAGACACTGTATCAGTTTCTTTACCAAATTACAGGCAAGTAAATGGTTTCAGGGTCAAGTGTGGCGGGCAACTTTGCACTGTTACATTTATTCTTCTGCTTCTTTTTCTCTCAGATGTGGACAAATGCTTGTAACCTTGGAAAAGGTGATGTTAAAATATCACACTTTTCTTTCCAACTTAACTCTGTAGACACTGATTAAAACGTAACCAAAGGACCAACAAGCTTCACTTAAAACTATTCTTAAAAACAACTTTAAAAAAAGATGTATTTATGATAAGAATTTGAGTTTGAATAACGTTTTCCCAGTAGCTTTTTGAGTTACTCATAAAGAACAGTTGACACGTCTCAAACAACTTTCTGAAACTATTCAGATCAGTCACCACAAAGTACAAAGGTTGTAAATGTCACTGCAGAGAGCATGCATCTCTGCTCAATGTAGGTAAAAAAGAGCGCCAAACCACATCCTGAGTCTCATTGTTCATCTGTCCCCCATCACATCACCCTCACTGTTCACTGCTGTTACTATTAGGAACAATGAACAGCTGAGATGTGCTAATGGTAAACGTATTCTTAAGTTGTGTATGCATGTAGTGAGGAAACAGCCAAATCAATTAACATTATTATCAATAACACCTTTACATGTAAATGACATGTGCTGATATTGACTTGGTAAAACTAATGTAATGTAGAATGCAGAATGGTATGAATACAATTTGTTTTTGAGATATAAAGTATTTTTGATGACATGACTGGCATGAATTTTATTTTGAATGATAATAGTTTTCTAAAGAAAGGAGACAAAGACCATTAGTGCTTCTACATTGGCCTGTCTTCGGTCTAAACTGAAACTAATCTTGTATGGGGATTTTGTAGGTTTCATCGCAAAGCAGGAAGTAGCGGTTTGCCTTCTGAAATAGCAAATGTGGCTTGTTGCCGCATTGTTATAGCAACCAGGTTGCACAGTGCTGTCTCATGCAGAACTTGATGAGCACGGTTGCATGATAATGCCTCGGCCCAGCAGGAAGGGTTTCATCTTTTTGATGAAGTTGATGTTTTAAAACATAAAAAAATACTTTCCATTTTCATTTTTTCTTGACAAAAAGCCACAATGATTTACATGTATTTTCTCTTTGCAGGTCAAACAGCAACTTCAGATACAACCAGTAAGTGGCTAAACTAAAATATTTAACTTTCCTTACATACATAGTATGTTTTAGATAGTTTTTATATTTTGTGCTCACTTGCTTTGCAAAGGATGTATAATTCACATTTATGTTGAAGTCCAGTGCAAACGTATTGTTAAATTCATACACAGTATACAGTCTTACTTTGTGTTAGGGCATTTTACCTGTTTTAAATAAATTACACCTTAAATTAAAAATTAAATAAATTAAACCTCATAGCATCTACACTTTTAGGAGTTTTAACTTATTCACATGGTGTTTGTGCATAATATGTTGATAATATTATACACAGCAATTATCTCATGCTTGTGTCCATAATAAAATGTATTAATGTTTTGTTTCCTTGTCTGAGGTGCCTGCATAGTGAGTTTAAGTTAAATACAAGCCACATTTTATACTTTACTGTTACTTTACCAGTACTTTTCAATGCAACAAAAATAGGAATAGGACGAATACTAAATATATGTTGACGTAAATGTAGTTTTGAAAATGATAAAAAAAAAAATGTAATCTAATTCAATACTCCTTGTTTTATAGAAATACATTGTGAGGGTTTATCCAACAGGTTCTGTGTGAAAGCTGTAGAAATGTGTCATCATAGTCGTGTTTCATCACATCAAACTTTGTTTTTGACCCTGTGAAGAAGCTAAGCTAAGTAGCTATCATGTAACATCACTGTACCTCCCTTTACACAATCCTGTTCGAGTTGGCAACCTTGCTAGGGTTTTGTCATCCTAAAACAGGAAGTATTTAATCTCACAGCATTTCAACTATTCTAGCTGAATTGTCCTACTGAGCACTTCCAGCTGTATGCTTCCTTTCCTCCTCTGGAAATACATTTGGTCTTGCTCTGTGCTACTATGTGTGTTTCAACTTTTCTCCTCTTATTAAAACAAATGTATTTTAGGACACATGTATAAGAATTGACAAGTGGTAACACCATCTTTCTGACAACAGGAAACAGAATTAATTAATTTGCTGAGTTAATTTGTGTTCCTGTTGCTCCTTTTGATGAACTAGCGTTGTCATATTGTGTTTGGCCTGATTTATTTTTATTTTCTTGGAACGCAGATGTTTCAACCACCTTACCTCCACGCACCAGCACAAATTCCTCTTCAGCATTCAGTTTACCAAACAGCACCTCAACTCCACGCACCATGACAGAAACTGCTGCCATATCTCCAGACAATCAAA